ACTTTAATTCTAATGTAGACAATCTACGTGCAATCTACTTAGTTTCCTTATGGCATCGAGCATTTCTTTCTTTATTGAAACAAAGAGTTTCCTTTTTCTTGTATAGAAGCACTATTTCTATGGATTGTCAGTATGCATATGTGAGCACCATGTTAGACTTAAGATTTTTATTTTTTTATTTTAGTAAGTTATTAGTATAATGCGTCAAGCGTGTCTTTGCATTGTTCTTACATATGCGTACAGTATTGAAATATGTATCAGAGACATTGTAGAACATACTTTTTTAAAAGAGTAACGAATGGAGTTTCTTCCTCGTTCTTCTCCATAGCTCACTGACGGACTGACTGACAGACTATTATTTATTTTGTATTTGTTGACGTTTCAAAAGTACCAAACTATGGTTTAATTGAAATAAATGATTTGACTTTGACTTTGACTTTGTGGGGTTATGTATTAAATGTTATAATAAAATACTTAGTAGCATACGGATGAATATCAACAAGTGCATATTTTGTCAATTTTGGTGGCGAAATTTTTTCTTTACTTTTTGTAAAAACTATTGACCTGGTTGGCCGAGTCGAGACTGCCTCGTTGGCCGAGTGGTCGCGAGTGCGACTGCCGGACTACCTCTGCCTACCCCTTCGGGGATAAAAGGCGTGATGTTATGATGTTATGTTATTGACCTGGTACAAAAATAGAAGGCTCAAGCTTTAGGAATCTTCATGAGGTCTGAGAATATCCTGGTAACTTTTTGAGATATTTGAGTTCAAAGACTAGTGCAGCCACCAAAATTGATATTTATCCACCAAAATTGAGAGTGCTTAATTATCAGATTAAAAATCAGTTTTTGTCACAAACTTAAATCTCACTAATGAAGTTCAATGTCTGAAATACTCGGGAATGACCAAAACTCCATCAGTTAATAAAACTTAGTCTTGTTATGATAATATTTATTATTATTTATCTGATGAACTCGTAATGATAATTATGAGTGTAGATATAAAACAATCTTTTTATTTTGAACAAAATTACTTGCCAAACAACATAAATTTCCTCAAGAAAACTAAGAAACCAAAACATAATAAACTCTTAACTTTCCTGAGTTCTGAAATCCTTCGCTGCAATATCTCTATCTCTTTGGCTTTGCTTTCTTTCTTCTTTTCTCTTTCTTTCTACAAATATCAATACTGCTGACACATGGAGATGTAGGGGGTGTGTGTTATAAGTTCAGCAGGGCTACTTGTGCGAAGATTTTGTGACTTAGGTACTTGGAGTAATATGACTTGTGGTCGGCTGTAAGCTGTCGGAGTATGGATGTTGCAAAGTAATCTTTTTTATGGCCTAAGCCGATAAACGAGCAGACGGATTACCTGACGATAAGTAATCGGCGTCACCCATGGACACCTGGAACACCAGAGGCGTTACAAGTGCGTTACCGGCCTTTTAGGCAATAGGAGTTTGAGGATCGTTGGGGATTCAGGAATTGGGGAGATTAGGGAAGGGGAGGGTAATTGGGCCTCCGGTAACCTCACTCACACGACGATACACAACGCAAGCGTTGCTTCACGTCGGTTTTGTGTGAAGCCGTGGTGAAGGTATCACTTCGGTCGAGCCGGCCCATTCGTGCTGAAGCATGGTTCTCCCACACTTATTACTTTTGGTGCGAGCATCTGGACTACAGTTACAACTTGTTCGTGGACGTAAATTTTACACCATGATTCTCAACGTAGACACGTAAAATTAGCGCCTGGGATATTCACCCATACCAGATATTAATGAAAGTAAAATATGATGACAATAAAGAGTAACAGAATATACGATAATTAATCCCGTATTTTATTATATAATTTGCAAATACTTCTGTATCACGGACTGGCTGTATTCCAAAATGTACTTTTAACAGAATTTAACGCGATTAACAACACTAGATCACCAAATAAATAATTAAATAATAAATAAATCTATACATATAATAAAATTGTAGAAAAGTGCTGTCTGTACATTGAAAATAAAAATAAAAAAAATAGCAGGGGCTATTGTTATGTCGATGTCGAACCCAAAAATGTAACTAACTTTTTTTTTGTCTGTTTGTCTGTTTGTCTGTTCACGCTAATCTCAGAAACGGCTTATCCGAGTTGGATGCGGTTTTCACGAATATATTGTGGTATGCTTCAGTTATGCTTTAGTGTTTGTTTCATGTCAATCGGTTCATAAATAAAAAAGTTACGTCAAATTAAAGAATCACGTCGAACACTATCTATCTATCTATCTATACATATAATAAAATTGTAGAAAAGTGCTGTCTGTACATTGAAAATAAAAATAAAAAAAATAGCAGGGGCTATTGTTATGTCGATGTCGAACCCAAAAATGTAACTAACTTTTTTTTTGTCTGTTTGTCTGTTTGTCTGTTCACGCTAATCTCAGAAACGGCTTATCCGAGTTGGATGCGGTTTTCACGAATATATTGTGGTATGCTTCAGTTATGCTTTAGTGTTTGTTTCATGTCAATCGGTTCATAAATAAAAAAGTTACGTCAAATTAAAGAATCACGTCGAACACTATCTATCTATCTATCTATCTATACATATAATAAAATTGTAGAAAAGTGCTGTCTGTACATTGAAAATAAAAATAAAAAAAATAGCAGGGGCTATTGTTATGTCGATGTCGAACCCAAAAATGTAACTAACTTTTTTTTTGTCTGTTTGTCTGTTTGTCTGTTCACGCTAATCTCAGAAATGGCTTATAAATATATATATATTTAACAGGGTGCGGAAAAGGTGATAGTGGTTTTATTCCTCAGATTCCTCTCATTCCAAAAAATTTTCCGTTTAATTTTAAACGAATTCAGTTTCCAGTGAGCCTATGTTTCGCCATGACAATTAATAAAGCTCAAGGTCAGACTCTAAAAGTTGTGGGTATAGATCTAAGTATCAGCTGTTTTTCGCACGGTCAATTGTATGTGGCTCTGTCCCGTGTTAGCAATCCCAGCAGCCTGTATGCTTTCACCCCCGATGGCCATACGTCTAATATTGTATATAGAGAAGCATTACAGTAAAGTAGGTTTTTTAGCTACCCAAAATGACTGTGATTATGATCCAAATCTAAAATAAAAATAAGTATATATTTAAAAAAAAAACGCTGCTCATAGTCACTATTCTACGCGAACGAAGTCGCGGGCACAGCTAGTAATTAAATAAATCAGCAAGTCCAATATCATGTCGTGTCGAAAGTGAAATAGGGATGTCAAATCAATTACCTATAGGTACCTAATCGATCGATTGTGTTTTTTTCTGTATGAATGCAGTCATACTCCAATTTAAATAGGTACATACGAACGTTAGTAAGAACAATATTATACAGTGATCAAAACTTCTTAATTTCAATACAATCATTTAAACATTCTACATTCGCTGTTATGGTTAGGTTATAACCTCAAAATCTAAAACTTCTTTTGAAATATATCTTTTCTGCAGCTAGTCCGCTATAAAAACAAGATCTTCCAGGAGTCTACAAATGATAGAGAATACTATACATAATTACCCGATAGGTACTCTTGGTTCCAGGGCCAACAATGTATAGACGCAGAGCAATGTCCTTTAAAACATAAATAATCGCGAATTATGTAATCAAACTGACAGATTATCATGCAGATAGGAATTGTCAGCATGTTGGTTCGCCTCCACTGGATGAAAGCTACATGTAGTCAGTAGTTAGATTCCAATAGTAAGTAATTTAATACTTTTATTCTAATGTAGATAATCTAGTTTGCTTATGGCATCGAGCATTTCTTCCTTTTTTGAAACAAAATGTTTACATTTTCGTGTACAGAAGCACTATTTTTATGGATTGTCAGTATGCATATGTGACCACCATTTTAGACTATAAGACTTTTTTTTGTTTTTTTTTTTATTTTAGTAACGTTTGTAATTTGTAGGTATACCTAATGCGTCAAGCGTGTCTTTGCATTGTTCTCATATATATACGTACAATATTGGAATATGTATCAGAGACATTGTAGAACATACTTTTTTAAGAAAAAGTTTCTTGCTCGTTCTTCTCCTTCCGAAACTACATTTTGGAATGAGCTCCTAGCTTCACCTAGCTTCACTGACAGACTGACTGACAGACTATTATTTATTTTGTATTTGGTGACGTTTCAAAAGTATCAAATTATGGTTAATTGAAAAAAATGCTTTGACTTTGAATTCACTGTTTTTGTGAATAATATACCTGTACGGTGCAATATACCTGTACAGTGCAACCGCACATCGTATAGCATCGTCAGCATTTACGCCTCACATTCATTTCATTTCATAATAATAGTTGGTTCGCGTCGAGCTCAAGTCGGCCACTCTCATTACGGCCAGGGCCACGTGTTACTCAGTTCACACACATCGGTTCATTGCCTCATTTACCCTTAATTTTGGACCAATACAATAGTTTAGATACATTAACTAACATCTTTTATTCTATTCTACCCAACATCAACAGAAAGTAATGTGTGATCAAGCTAGAGATCATACAACACCTAATACCACCCACTACGAATACTCTCCCATAAATAATTGGATGCACTAGATGTACTAGAATCACTTAGAAATTTTAATAATAACGAATTAAAGGATTCTAGCCGCAACGTTATGGTTCTTGAGATAGGATTTTACTAATCAACAAATAAAATTCATCAGCCACTAAAAGCAATATTTCGCCACTAAATGGGAGGTCCAGACTACCACGTTTGTCGCGGAGAACCTAACGGGTAACCGGGGCTCCGGCTCGACGGGCAGGAGAAGGAACGGGGTGGTTTTTAGTCAGTAAGAGTGTAACACTCCCTCCCGCCTCACCCAGGCGGGAGCAGTCATTCGATGATTTTCCCCCCTTAAAAAAAAAGACTACCACGTTTAGTGGAAATTCCACTAAGTTGACAACACTGCATCCACATATTGATCTTTCTACACTCCGCAATCCGCATGCGCGATGCGCCGTGACGCAGGACTAGTCAGGGCTCAGCCTCCGAAGTGAAATACTACGGTAACGGCGAATTTGTAACTTATTGTTATTAATATTTCATTAACCAACTCTCAAGAAAGGAGGAGGACCCCAAATCAGCAGGTATGTTCTATTTCTGTTCTTTTTCTGTGTACCTATGTACAACAATTACATCGAGGTTCGTTGACGGGGATCGATTTTCTGTTTGAGGCCAAAGGAATAGGTGTTCCTATAAAAATGATTCAAATTGGTTCAGTACTTTTTATTTTATGAGCATTGTACTTGTGCGACGTCACTTTCACGATATGTCGTACATTTGTGCATCGGTTGACACGGCTGACTTATTCACGTCCTGCATATGGTCTGAATGGTCTCCTCGAACGCATTGAATTGAATTGAAGCACTTGTTCTTAAATGGCCGAAGAAAAAGGAAGTGCGATATTGAACATTCCGCGATGCAGAGCACACCTGGGCTTCAATGGCGTCAGGTTCCTGTCTACACTTGTTTCATTCGGTCATTCGGCGGTGTTTTATCATTGTCCATTCTTTTGTTCAGTAAGTTTATTTTTGATTCAATAAGGCTTTTTTAATGGGGGAAAATCATCAAATGACGTCTGCCACCTGGGTGAGGCGGGAGGAAGTGTCAGATTACTGATTAAAAAGTACTGCACTTCAAGCCGGAGCCCCGGTAACCTGTTAAGTTCTCAGCGACTCCGTATCGGCATCAGCCCTATTGGGCCCCATCCGTGGTGGCCTAATAGTTCTCTGAGGCGCGCGCGGAAACGACGGGGCGCATGCTCGGGTTTGGTTCTATTCGGGCAGCGAGCTACCCATGCGCCCCGCCTCCTTCTTAGCTAACATGTCAGCTTCGCAAAAGGAGGAGACGGCATCCCAGTCCTCCTCGCTCCGCATCACGACCCGGACCAGGGCCGGACGCGAGAGGTCGCCGTCGCCGATCACATCCCTGAGGGTACGGCGATACTCAACCCACGCAGGGTATTCCCCTACCGTGTGTTCCACCCTGTCCTCAGGGTGGTCCTCGCAGTGATGACACCCAGACGTTATCTCCCGCCGCATCAGACACAAGTAACAAGTAGATAACAAATAAAATATACTTCAATTACTTTCTTACTTTATTTGCTTGTATATAATGAGTCATCATTGTACTAGCTGTTGCTCGTGAATTTGTCCGCGCAGAATAATGATTTCCGGCAGAATTTGTCTTTTTCGAGGATATATTCTATGGCTGTGACAAATGTCGTCAGAATTAACAATCCCACGGGTCCTGGTCCTGAGAGCCCCAGGGCTTTAACGCATAGTTCGACATAGGGGAAACGACGTCGTTTTTCAGGTATCAAACTCCGGTAGAGACTCCCGGGATTTTAGAGCACAGTTCCCGCACTATGTTCTTTCCTGGGTCGTAAACCACTGTTGTACTGAATTTCAATGAAATAAGTACAGTGGTTTAAAAGATGGCGAATCTCGGAGTTATGACGAATAGTTGCATACAAACGAGAGAGAGAGAGTGTTAGACTTTTAGTGGCTAAACTTCCTTTACTGGTCCTTATACTAAACATATTTTACTTTAATGACTACCCCGTTGCTACTCTTCAAGCCGGAGCCCCGGCAACCCGTCAGGTCTTCCACGGCTCCTTATCGGGCATCAGCCCTACAGGACCCCATCTGTGGTGGTCTGATGTCTCTCTGATGGCTCTTGCGGAACGCACGCACACCGTACCCAGGGGCTTGATTCTGGTCGGATGGGGAGTTATCCTTGCTCGCCGACGCAGACCCACACTTACGGTGGCCGGAGATAGACGATCTCCGACGCTAGGAGTGTCTCTAGCGATGGGTGAGGCGTCAGGAGGGTTATTACCTAACGCGCCCCGCCTCCTCCTTGGCAAGCATGACTGCCTCGCAAAAGGAGGAGATGGCATCCCAATCCCTCTCGCTCCGCACTATGGCATGAACCAGAGCTAGAAGCGATAGGTTGCCGTCACCGACCACATCCCTGGAAACACGGCGATGCTTAGCCCAGGCAGGACACACTGCCACCGTATACTCCACCGTGTCCACCGAGATTGTGATTGTGACTTTAACCTTATGTTCAATAATGACATTCTTCTTTCTAAGAAAGATGGCCATCTAAGCACATGGCCAGTAAAGCGCAACACAAGCCCGGTACAGCTTACTACCACATCAACTTTATTAATTATAATATGATTATCTTCGTTTCCAGATAAGACAAGAATCCTGAAGAAAGAAATGGCAGAAAAGGATGAAGCCGTAAGAAACAAATATTATTTTATTATTTCATTAAGACTAGCATAAGATGACCCATCATTTCATAGATAGTTAAATCACTCAATATACTACTAGCCATAAAAAAGTGTGTTTGCAATTAATCCATATATTTGTGGTATTTATACAAAGTGCAACTATATACATGTTTTTGTTTGTTCACCGATTACTTCAATCGATTTCCAAAATTAAAAAGAACGAGTGTAAAGCTACATAGATCCGTTTTGTACTTATAATTCACAAATGTGGAAAGTTCTAATCAATACAAATTATTCAAGCCCAAACATAAGGCGGTTTCTTTATACCTTTGAGGAGTTCCAGTAACAATTACACTTCTTCATCATCAGACCCTTAATGTCAGTCCCACTCCATCTACGTGGAAAGTTCTCTGTAATATAAAATAATAAAGCCCAAACACAGAGTAGTTAACATAAACCGTTGAGTAGTTAATAGTCGTCTAGAAAGGATCTATGTAGCTATATACTAAAAATGAAAAATAAAAACTGCGTTTAAGAAATAGACTTCAAAAAAAGACAAAAACTAATAACAAACAAAAAGTGAAAACTAAAACGCAAAAACTATTATTAGTACTGATAGGTTACCTTTTAACTTTTTGTTTTTCATTAGTTTTTGGTTTTTTCAGTTGATGTTCATCAACAGCCTGTAAATGCCCATTGCTGAGAAAAGCCTCTTCTCATACGGAGAAGGTTTGAGCACTAATTACCACGCTTGCTCAAAGCGGGTTGGCAATTTCAAACTCATAGTTACAGTCAAAGTCAAAGTCAAAATAATTTATTTCAATTAGACCAGGAAGGCACTTTTGAACGTCACAACAAAATATTTAAATATTAAATAATAAGAAAAAAAATGTCAGTCTGTAGGTCAGTCCTCTAGTGAAGCTATTTGCTCGTTCCAAAGTGTAGATTCCTATGGAGAAGAACGAGCAAGAAACTCCATAGGTTACTCCTTTTCAATCACTTCACACATCCACTTCCCGTGCCACTGCCAATGAGACTTTTGAGTGGAACACATTATACATTATATGTCCAGGTTTCCTCACGATGTTATCCTTCACCGTTTGTTAGTGGTGTCTAAATAATCTTAGAAAGTACATATAACTCGGAAAAAGTCACATTGGTACTTGCCATTGTTTCGAACCCGCACCCTCATGTATGATGTATATGTATATGTATGTATGTTTGTAACCAGGTTCCAACTGATAAAAGTGCCAACAAGCCGGAAGATGCCGCCCGTGAGGGTGAAGATAACGATGCTAGAGAAGAGGACAATGATGACCCCCTTCCTGGCTGGTTGCCGCCGGAACGTGTTGACTACAAGCAATTCGAAGCATATATGACGTAAGTATCGAATACACTGAGACAAAACATGGCACTATTGCTTGTCTTAATCAAATTTTACATATCAAGAATGTAGTTCTAAAAGTGAAGGTTGTTAAAAGGCATTGCTTTGTTTATTCAAACTTTGAAAGTTAATTATAATATAAAAAAGAGAAAGAAATACAGTTTTTTTGCACCATTACAGAAAACAAGTAATAAAATAAAGAACAACAGTGTACACGGTGCAAAAAGGCCAGTGCTCGGCTAAAGTGCCGTGTCACGAGCGCGATTGTTCCAGTCGCGGCGCTCATTTTCAGCACTAGCCTCTACTAGCCTATTGACTAAATTTCCTTTTTTCAATCAAAATATTCGAAATTACCACCAAAAATACTGAAATGCACACTACATGTCCTCGTCAAATAAATCAATTATACTATACTGTTACATCTTTAAAGCTTAACTGATTTACTGAATGATATGAACATGGGTTATTCTTAACCTAACCTAACCTTTTTTTAATGGGGCAAAATCCTCATGGACTTCCTCCGCCTGGAGACGGAGTTGTTTACAGCCACGTGCATCGCCTCAAAGGCGCACACCGACACCCGCGCGCACCTTCGACTTGAGTCTTTCATATCAAGGGCGAGGAATTCCCCAAGTCCTTCGCCCCTGGACCCATTCATGGGGGCCGGAAAAGGGCGTTGTTGGCTCTTCTCCTGCGCCCGGTGCGCCTTCTACGGTTAGGAAAGGAAGTCAATAGTACCTCCCTTACCCGTTCCGCAGTTTCCTTCTGGGATATCAGGTCCTCGCAGAAAGACACCACCGCGTCCCATGACTCTGCGCTGTCCACCATGTTCCGCACTACGGCCGGTAGCGACGGTTCGCCTCCTACTTCATTTGTGAGGACAAGGCGCTGCTCCACCCAAGCTACACACTCGGCGAGGGTGTCCTCCCCGCAATGGACGCAGTGTCCAACCTAACCTAACCCATAATCTTAAGGCCGTGAAAAAAAACACCTAACCTAACCTACCTAGTGTTGAAAAATTGTGTGCAAATCGGTATTTTTGTTCTACGGTTAATTTTTTGATTTGCAGTACGCTGTTAGTGGAGTAATTTGGTTTGCTTAAATTTCTAAATAGAGGTGCAGTAAAAAGCTCCCCTATTACATACTTAATGTTTATATTTTTGTTATTACAGGTGCGTAGACAACGATGGTTTTATTTACTTATACGACTTTGATCAACAAGTCACACGGAACCTTATACGTAACACATTATATGCCAAATATAAATTGGATTTTCGCCCTGGTGAGCCTAACCCAGAAGCAATGACTGCAACATGGGAGGTGGGGGAACCGTGCATAGTATTACGGGGCGCGTGTCTGACCTTTAGAGGAGTAGTGCGTAAAGTATACCAACAGAAGCTTACGTGTCTCGTTTATTACATAGATTATGGCAATGAAGTAGTGGTCTCCTTTGGAAGTTTAAGAAAAGGTGCTGACCTCTGCCACATTCCGATACAAATACTCAAGTGTGCGTTAAATCGTATACATCCTATTGGAAACCAATGGAGCCAAGACACAATACAGTTCCTCCGCATATCTCTTGTTGAAAAATCAGCCGTTGTGAAAGTAGTTGGTGAAGCAGTAGACGGAGTAGTACCAATAGAGCTAAAGTATTGTGGGATGTGTGTAAATGACGTGTTAGTGGATTTCGAAAGGGCTGAATACGAAGATGGCATCGTGAGATATTGTTCTGCTGAAGAGATCAAGGAATTACTTGAAGAAGATACGCTTGATTCTGATGAGCCATCTTCATCTGCCGCAAGCTCAAAGGAAGATCAACAGCCTGCAAGTAATGTCGAGCTCGTTACCTACCCAAAATATAGTGGTAATGAATATCCGTGTTTTATGAGTGAAATTAATGGTGTTAGAAAATTCCCAGTCCAAATTTTTTACGAAGATAAAGAATTGGACAGTCAGTATCGAGCTATGCACGATGAGCTCCAGTCGGAAGGTATGAATATGCCACCGCTGAAGGAAATATTTGAGGATAAGCCATGTATTGTATTAAGTGCCGACAACTGTGAATGGTACCGCGCATCGATTATCCTATTCAGCAAGAGAGAATGTCTTGTTCAAGTTAAGTATGCTGATCATTCTGACGTTGAATTTATCCCGTTGGAGAATACAAGGGAGATTAGTACAAAATGGCTAAAGCTTCCTCCCGCCAATTTATATGTCAAAATATTCGGCCTGCGCATGAACCGAAAGGCAGATATGAATATTATAAGAAGGCGATACTTTGAAGCTTTCTTTCAACAAGGACCTTTTATGTTGTCCATCAAGGGTTACGAAGGTGTTACGCCATTGGTAGAGATCAGAGATGAAGATAATGATTTGGCATACGAAAACTTCATAGAAAATGATATGTTGATTAAGAATTAATCGAGTTTAACTATGTATGTACTTAATAGGTTTTGTTTACAACATACAAAATTAAAAACCTAAAAATTAAACAATTTTAACAATTTTAACAATTTTAACAATTTTCAATTCAAGTAACCATTTTAACAAACATTTAGATTTAGATGTAGAACTTTTTCCTGTACTAGCGTATAGAGTAGTAAGGTTATATAGAGAGGTAGACAATTATGTAGTCAACTGTTACTATTTAGAAGTACCACTATAGCATTGTAGGGTGTACCTGTATTAGTCGTGTTGCACGTGGAGCGCGTCACGTGAGCGTTTGTAGTTTAACTTTTGTGCCGACTGTACGTCGTTGTCGTAGATCGAAGGTGTTTTATCAATATTTAATACACTTTTAAAACTCAACTCAAATGTATCACTTTCTAGTTGTTAATTTCATTGTTAAGCTTAGATACTAGTTACTGATTTGAAGTAAATAAAACTTGAAAATTATTGTTGGTTTTATAATTTAAATAACCTGGGGAGAAATCATCGGATGACTTCTCCTGCCTAGGCGAGGGAGTGTCAGACTCTTACTGACTAAAAACCACCCCGTTCCTACTACTGGCCTTCGAGACGGAGCCCCGGCAACCCGTTAAGTCCTCCACGGCTCCGTATCGGCATCAGCCCTATTGGGCCCCATCCGTGGGCTGATGGCTCTTTGAGGTGCGCACGGAACGCTCGGCGCCATACGCTCGGGACTGGTTCTGGTCGGCCGGCGAGCTACCCATGGAACGTTTACGTAAGAAATGAAAAACTCGAATTCATAATATTTAGGTCTTTACCTATGAAATTGCCGTTCTGCATTACTGGCCATTTCAAATTAAAAATAATTTGTGTTTTGCTAAGAATTCTAATTTTAAATTAATTTGATTTTTAACCGACTTCAAAAAAGGAGGAAGTTCTCGATTCGACAGTAAGTATACATATAAGCTTTTTTTATATTTGTTCGCCGAAATCTTCGTTATTCATGAACTGATTTTGATAATTCCATTCACTACATTTTGATAAAGGTCTGGAGTCGATCTGAAGATGGATGGATGAAGGAGCCGAGAGCCAGCAGTCGAGTGAACTCCTCAACGGTTAACAGGAGCTACCTTGTGTTTAGGTTTTATAAAATTGTATTGATGAGGACATTACACTTAGGTGGGATGTGATTGCCATTAATGGTCTGATGATGAAGTAGTCCGACAGTTGAGGGAATTAATTAGTCTTACATTTTATCGCATTCAATATTTTTCATCATTATCGATATAGTTTAGTCATTTGGTAGCTTCACCCGGAATGTTTTCCGGGAGTTTCGAAAATCAGTAAATGATTAAGTTAAAAATGGCCTATGAATCAACACGCATGAAACATTTATTATTATTCTCAGTTCTTTTAATAACATACATTGTAGGTAAATATTTGTATAGCACGGACGCTTTTTAGTTTCGTAAGCATTTAAAAAAGTATTCACTTCTGTCCTCAGCGATACTCGGTGATAGTTCTATTACTTTTTGGTTCAGTTTGAGGTTTTTAACGGGAACAGGTATTATAGGTCATACAGCAAAGGCAAGACAAGGATCGGTATTCTCAACACTTGATATAAGATCATAATTGTTAGTTACAAACAGTCGGCTATGATGGCGTAGAACTTGAGTAGAACCATAATACGGCTTATCAAAAGACTCGATAGAAAGCGCTGGTCGACCAATAATATCGACACTGACAGTTCATGATTTGACAGATGATTGGTAGTAATGTCACTTGGCGCGCGCATTCTGTGCTCGATCTGCATTTGCGTACCGAATTCGTTTGCATTTTCTTACTTTTTTGATTTTATGTAACTTGGCGCGAACAAAGGACTGTGACTATCTCTTGAAATATCGACCCCTGGCTGAGTTTTACTGATACGGACCTACTTAGAACAACGTTTTGACGTATTATACACGGACTTGCGTAGTAAACATGGAAATCAAAGGTTATTGATGTAATTGTAACCTCAAAATCAGAGAGTGTTTTGATTGTTATAGAATTTATTCTTAAAAGTGTCCGTTGGTTCAATTTAGGTTCATATTCTTATTCATTTCTTTGCATACCATAAAGTAAGGTGCTACAATAGGCTTAAAGCTAAGAACATTTATAGATCCTGTATGAGCATAACGATACTGATTTGTTAAAATAAACCTTTTTGAAAAGAAATCATCCAAAATATATTTATCATATTACCTATCTATAATTTAAATCAAAATTACGATATTTATATTAATATAATTTAAATCAAAATTACGATAATTAAAGTCATAATGAAATTGATAATCTATACATATAATAAATCTGTAGAAAAGTAAAAGAAAAAGATAACTAACAGGACCCATTACCATAATTTTTGAAATTTTTGTGTGTTTGTCTGTATGTTTCTATCTAAATCTACGAATTCAATGCAGACATTCCTTATATACAAAAACTTTACGCAACTTGAGGTATAATTTAGTTGTTGTTTCATCGAAATCGGTTTACTCTATCAGAAGATATGATTAATTTAGTGAGATCAAGGAGTCAAATATTACTTACAACATGCAATTCAGTATAGTACCTACCTACTTGCAACGACACCTTAGACTAAAAACTAAAAAAATAGAACTAATGTTGATAGTTAGTTAGTTAGATGGTGTTGTGCAGTTACGTCATTTTCTGAATGGCGGTGTTAAGATTATCCGCGCGAGAATCACCTTCGACCGTGTTTCCTTTATAGATTGAATTTAGTTTGGTATTCTTAAAAATTCTTGAGTGTCTTGTAAAAGATCTTTGGCTGATAGGAAAATTATCGCTTATTGTGTTGATTGGAAATTTAGTTTCGTTTGGTCATTGGTTTGAAGTCCGAAGTAAAGATACTACTTGATATTTAAAACAAGTAGAATAGGCGTGAGATATACCTGCATTATTCTATACTTTCAATTTATTGTCATGGGTGTCGTTTTCATACTCTTATTTTTTTTAATGGTTTTCGAGTGTGATAAAACCGATGGTGCTGTCAAAATGTAAATCAAAGATGGCGGCTGCACGAAATTTTCAACTTATCGTCATGGGTATCATTTTCATGGTTTTTGAGGGTGGTAAAACCGATGGTGTTGTCAAAATGTAAATCAAAGATGGCGGCTGCACGAAATTTTTCATTTATCGTCATGGGTATCGTTTTCATGGTTTTCGAGAGTGATAAAACCGATGGTGCTGTCAAAATGTAAATCCAAGATGGCGGCTGCACGAAATTTTCAACTTATCGTCATGGGTATCATTTTTATGGTTTTCAAGGGTGTTAAAAATGATGGTGTTGTCAAAATGCCAATCTAAGATGGCCGCTACCCGAAATTTTCAATTTATCGTCATGAGTATCGTTTTTTATGGTTTTTGAGGGTGGTGAAATGATGGCACTGTCAGAATCTAAATTCAAGATGGCGGCTGCATGAAATTTTCAATTTATCGTCATGGGTGTCGTTTTTGCGTAACTACGTTGTGTTTAGGTTTGTATAATTTGTATTGATTAGAACCTTGCACTTATGTGGATTATAATTGGCACAACGGGTCTATGTAGCTGTACACTGAAGAATCTGTGTCTGCAGGTCTCTTGCCAACTTAGGAGCGGAATAAAACACGGACGTCTCGATAGCACAGCGTATATTCGCAGACTGTTGCGGCCGTGGTGTCCGCCTTAATATAAGTAACAATTAACTTACTACCACCCACTTAGTCTAAATATCAAACATACATCACACCTCCCTTCTTAAATTAAAATAATTTTATAAACACAGTACATTTGTAACTCACGTGCACTGGAATCTAATAACCGGCTTTCGGGTTCGCTTGGGGTACTCTGCTTGTGGCTGAGCCGATATACCAGGTGATTTATTAGGTGGCTGACCACAATCAATACCCCCAACTTCATTGTTCATCGCTGAATTCGACTTACTTTCTTCACTCACACATTCATCACTACGTTCATCCTCATTCTTCAGATTCAGATTCATTTATTCATTGTAAAACATAGGTACATTATAAGTTCTTATGTAATATGTTGAGAGCGCTATGTTTTGCCTCTAGGGCGTACAATACATGCAATATCAATACATAGTATAAAACAAAGTCGCTTCCCCAACTTTATTAAGCTATCTCCAGCCTGCGTTACGGAGCTCTCACCCTCTATCGCTCCCTCTTCTTCAGCGTTCGGTCCACTAACCGATGGCCGAGATCGGCGCCGTATCTGATCCACATGTCTTTTAACTAATTGACCATTATCCCTTGCTATCATATACCTACGAGTACTATCCACATTTGCAATAGAACTTTTGACCCATTTGTTTGCGGCATTATAATCTCTCATCCACACCGGGTCTCCCTCTTCAAAAGATCGCGGTACCCCACCAGATGAATCGATTTGTCTTTGCTGTGCATCTTGTACTCTGATACCTACTGATCGTTCCGTTCGTAACAAATCGAACCTAGAACGTAGTGTTCGTTTCTGCAACAACATAGCGGGTGTCTCACCGGTGGTGCTGTGTACTGTGTTTCTGTACGCTAATGAAAATGTTTGTGAAGCTGTGTCTACCTCCACGCTATCTCTAATTGCTTTTTTTATCGCGCGTTTGCACATGTTACCTGCGTTTTCTGCAGCTCCGTTTGAAGACGGATGATAAGCGGGTGAAAAATACTGCCTAATACCATTCTGCAAAAGAAAATGTTTGAATTCTGAACTGGTAAAAGGCGGTCCCTGATCGGATACTAACTGTTCCGGTAACCCGAACCTCGCAAAAGTCGCACGCAACACTTTAATAACGTTAGACGCGTTGGTCCGCGACATTTCGAATATTTCTAACCACTTTGAAGACGAATCTATCAATACTAGAAATGTCATACCTCGATATGGGCCCAAAAAGTCAATGTGAAGTCTAGTCCACGGTTGATTATAATACGGCCATGGTTGGATAGCAGTTCGTGGGGGCGCGCTCGCTTCTGCCGCACATGTCTCACAACTTTTACCTAA